TTGACTCCCCTTTCTTTTTCACTTCTGCTTTTTTCATCACTGCCTGTTCCCCCTTATCGCTCTAGCAGAGTGGAGCGCCTGAGGTAGTCACCACAGTTTTCTTTATTTTAGCAACATTTGTTTATTTTTTTGAGAAAGGTGAAGGCAGTTGTGTGAAGGGTTGTTTCCTTATTAAACTGGATGCTCCATAACCTCAGTATTTGATCCTCAGCAAGTTTACTGTTTTAATCAAAATGGCTGTTTATGTGTAATTGTATGTTGCTGGACTGTCTGAACTGTCCATTCAGCAGATATTTATTGGACAACTACCATATCTGTACACTGTTGTGTCCTGGAGATAAAGCCTTAATGAACCCTCCCTTTAGTGAGCTTCCAGTCTAGCATAGATGGTAGGCCATTAAACATTGAGGGTTATAACAGGAGGGTTTGCAGGTACTAATAAGGGCCTTTACATTTCCTTGTGAACTTGCAGCATTTCATAGTAGCTTGATGTAGTTCTGTGGTTTGAGAGTTAAAGCCTTAGTGATCTCCTGAGTTTAGGCTCCCAGATTTTACAAGGGCTTCTTCAGTGCTGCTAACTCTGGTTCTATTATGAAATTATATAATCCCAATATGAAGATAATCTGGGATCTTCCCCTCTCCAATTAGTCTGTTTACAAGTGCTTTATGTTTTATATTTACTATGAAGAATGATGTGAAAAATGGACAATTGTATCTAAACTTTACTCTTATTAGCAAGAAATGTTTCACTGTCCTTTCCATGTTCAAACTGATCACATTTTCCAGGAGCATAATTTAGTTTTGATCTTGAATAAGCTGGAATCTTAGACTGAGGCCCAGCCTGTTCTGATTCTGTGGTGTCGGGCCATTTTTTCCCACTTGTTAAATTAAACATTTTTATTGCAGCATAACATACATGTAGGAAAGTGTACAAACCTTAAGTTGGGTGAATTTTCATAAAGTAATCATACCATCCACTACCATAGAGATCAAGAAACAGAATTATCACTGCCACGGAAATTTCATTTATGTCTTCTTTCTGTCATGACCCATTGCCCTTTCTCCCCAGACCCTAGCAACCACTAATCTACCTTCTGTCTCTATGGATTCTCTTATTCTATACATTTCATACGAATGGAATCATACAACCTGTGGCATTTTTTTTGTCTGACTTCTTTCACTTAGTATATTTTTAGGGTTCTCCATGGTGTGGTACATATCAGTACTTCTTTTCTTTTTATGGATGAATTTTATATCATTAAATGGAAATACGACATTTTGTTTATCCATTCATTATTTGATGGAAATTTGTTGTTTTCCTACTTTTTGGCTATTATAAATAATGCTACTATGAACATATGTTTATAAATTTTTGTGTGAACTTGCGTTTTCACTTGTCTTGGAGTGAAATTGATGTTTAGTAAGGTAACTATGTTTACTCTTTTGAGAAACTGCTAAACTGTTTTCTAAAGTGGCTGTATTTTCACATTTCTGTTAATAATATATGAGGGTTCTAATTTCTCCATATCTTGTCAGCACTTGTCTTTGTGTGTGTCTTTGATTACAGCCATCCTAGTGGATATGAAGTGGTATCTTACTATAATTTTATTTGCATTTTCCCTAATGACTAATGGTGTTGAGTGGCTTTTCATATACTTACTGGCCATTTGAATATCTTTTTTGGAGAAACATCTAATCAAATTCTTTACTCATTTAAAAATTGGATTATTTGACTTTTTTATTGAATTGTAAGAATTCTTTATATTTCTGTACATTAGACCCTTATCAGATACATGATTTGCAAATAGTTCTTTCCATTCTGTGGGTTATCTTCACTTTTTTGGTAGTGTTCTTTGAAATACAAGGGTTTTAAATTTTGGTAAAGACCAACTTATGTTTTCCTTGGTTGCTCATCCTCTTATTGTCTAAGAAACCATTTGCTAATCCACAGCTATAAAGATTTATTCCTACGTTTTCTTTAAGACATTTGTAGTTTTAAGACACTTTAAGACACTTAGGTTTTTAATCCACTTTGGGTTACTTTTTTTATATATTGTGAAGTAGAAGTATTACTTTCCTTGAACCTTATTTTGATACAATTTTTGGTTTACATAGAGTTATAAAAGTAATTCATTTAGCTTTCTCATAAGTTAACATTTTACATAAACATAGTACAGTAATAAAAACTAAGAATATAATACTGGCGTGATAGAATTTGCTAAACAACAGAGTTTATTGGGATTCACCAATTTTTCTACTATTGTGCTTTATCTGTTCCAAGATCCAGTCCAGTTTCCTACATTTCATGTAGGTATCATATCTCTATAGTTCTCTTCCATCCATGGAGCTCTTCAGTCTTTTCTTGTCTTTCATGATCTTGATATTTTGGAAGAATACTGTTCATATATTTTGTAGTACGTCTTTCAGTTTTGGATTTTCCGGTATTTTGTCATGATTAGTCTGAGGTTATGAATTACTGGGAAGAATACCCCAGGTATGATGTGCCCTTTTCAGGCCATCATATCAGGGAGTATAGGATGTTAAAATGTCACATTATTGGTGATTTTAACCTTGATCACTTGATTGAGATGATGTCTGCCATGTTTATCCACTATAAAGTTACTATTTTTCTTGTAATTAATAAGTGTTTATTTTGTTAGAGATTGAAACTGTGCAGGATCTTGTTTTCTAAACTTTGCCTGCTAATTCAACATCCGTAAGTGGATCTTACCTATAGTGATTATTATTCTGGTGTTCTCGTAGTGATTTTTTTTCTTTATTCCTTCTATATTTATTAGTTAGAATTCTTTTATGAGGAAGAGTTGTCTCTCTTTCTCATCCATCTGTCCATCTACCTATATCATTATGGATTCAAGGATACTATCATTTTTTTTAAGTTTTATTTATCTATGATAGTCACAGAGAGAGAGAGAGAGAGGCAGAGACATAGGCAGAGGGAGAAGCAGGCCCCATGCACCGATAGCCTGACGTGGGATTCGATCCTGGGTCTCCAGGATCACGCCCTGGGCTAAAGGCAGGCGCTAAACCTCTGCGTCACCCAGGGATCCCTCAAGGATACTATCTTAACCAGCTTTGAGCATAGGTACCTTTTTAGGTTGGCTCCTATGTTCTTTAATCATGCCCCCTTCCTTCTTTTTTTTTTTTAAGATTTATTTGTTTGTTTGTTTGTTTGTTTATGAGAGACACAGAGACAGAGAGAGGCAGAGACACAGGCGGAGGGAGAAGCAGGCTCCATGCAGGGAGCCCAATGTGGGACTTGATCCCGGATCTCCAGGATCAGGCCCTGGGCTAAAGGTGGCGCTAAACCGCTGAGCCACCTTGGCTGCCCTCCCCCTTCCTTTTTTTGAACACTTTCTTTCTGGCACCACAAGATGCTCCAGGCTCATCTTGTATTTTTCCTGTCCTACCCTGTAGTCACTACCTCCCTAAGAAGCCCTGATTCTTTTTATAGCAGAATGGTACTTATCAGTCAGCATCTCAGTATTAGCTGTACTCACTGCTACTGGGGTGTCATTGCTTTATTTATCATATTAAAAAGCCTTTTAAAAGGGGTATTATAGGTGTGCCTGGGTGGCTCAGTCGGTTAAGCATCTGCCTTTGACTTGGGTCATGATCCCACTATTCTGGGATGGAGCCCCACATCTGACTCTGTCCTCAGCGGGAGGTCTGCTTCTCCTTCTCCCTCTGCTATTCATGTTCTCTCTCACTACTCTCTTAGAAAATGAGATATTGGGACGCCTGGGTGGCTCAGTGGTTGAGCATCTGCTTTCGGTTCAGGGTGTGATCCCCGGGTTCTGGCAATCGAGTCCTGCATCGGGCTCCCTACTGGAACAGGAGCCTGGTTCTCCCTCTGCCTATGTCTCTGCCCCTATCTCTGAGTCTCTCATGAATAAATAAAATATTCAAAAACAAAAAATATTGTTAATAATATATCTTAAAATATTTTCCAGCCAGTTTGTTAAAATTATGTGGCACATAACCAGTTGAAAAATGTAGACTTTTTTTTTTTTTTTTTTTTTTTTGCTTGTAAACAGTTTCCATTTTCAGTTTGGAATGAATGTTATTGTCTAATCATTTAATCATTAAAGACATAATTTTCTTTTTATATTTTATTTTGGGGGCACCTGAGTGGCTCATTTGGTTAAACATCCAACTCTTGATCTCAGGGTTGTGAGTTTAAGTCCCACATTGGGTTTCGTGCTTGGTGTGGAGCCCACTTAAAAAAAATTAAAAATAAATAACTAAATAAATAAGCTTCTGTTTTTAAGTAATTTCTGCACCCAATGGTGGGGCTCAGACTTAAAACCACAAGATCAAGAGTTAGCTACTCCACAAACTGAGAGCCAGCTAGAGTTAATAGGTTTGGAATTTATCCTCTTTTTAAGGTTTTGATTATGTTTATATGTGAGTTAATGTTTATATACGAGATTAAAGCAGGCCTAGGATGTAGTCTCTGCTAGGCCTGAGATGCTGGGTAGAGTGTAATGGAAACAGACACTGAGTGACATGGCAGCTGGTAGGCATCCATTCACAGATAACTGGGATGCATGGCAGGCATGAATTTTTCCCATGTCCAAGTAGTATTAGCAGTAAGTTAACTGGTGTTCCTCATTTTCTTTATCTGGGACCATAATTACTCCTACATTGAGTTGGGAATGTTAGGGTATGCAGGGGCAAGTGGCAGATAGACACACCTTTGAAGAGAATAACCTGATTAAAAACATTTCAAAATACTACTTTTCAGTATCTATATTAATATTTTTTCTTGTGGTACTTTTTTCCTATTACATCATGATGTGAAATATTTATTCTATGTCATTATTTTTAGGCCTTAATGCTATCAAATAAACCTACTTTTTTCTTGGCTGATTACCTGGCCACCTCTCCCTTGTTTCATATAACATGGAAGATCTTAACATAGGTAACAGAACCAGGGTGACATTAGCTGATGCTCTCTGTCCCCCTTTGATGCCTCCCAGGAATGCCGGTGGCCTGGGGGACAGAGATGCCTGGACTTGAGCTGTGGAGAGAGGAAACTTCAAGCGAGAGGCGTCTCCAGGTACTGGGGCCAATCCACAGTTGATTAATGCCTGTATAGTTATCAGGAGCTAACCAACTAAACTAACACTGATTGCCCAGACTTATATTTATACTTTTTTTTTTTTAACAAGATAAAGTTTGTACATAGATAATCTAGTAACTGGCAGTTTGTGCAGTTTGAGATAGATACTTGGCAGTGGTTCCTTTTTGTTTTTACGTAGGGAGTTTAATTGAAGTTTTTAAGCTAAGTATGTTTTTTTTTTATTTTTTGATCTTAAGTACACTGTGGGCATGTGCATTCCTATATCATAGAAAGATATATTATTTCTTTTTGAATATCATATCTATTCCAAAATAAAACACTGGATAATCTTAACAGAATACTTTAAAATGAAATTCTAGAATACTGTTTGACAGTCTAATACAATCAGAGTTTTTAAAAGGCAGACTTGTTATGTAGTTCTTACATCTTTTTAGCTTAAATATATATAGCATGCATAAGTCCCTTAAATATACATACAGATACATACACACATTATATATAAGATACTCATATATATGGGTAAAACATATAATTTTTTTCTATATTGTCATGCTGGTATTTTAAATCATAAGAAACCAAAATCTGAACAAACCACTGTGATGTCTTTATGTAATAAGAAAAGGAAGTTTTGTATATTTGCTTTTAAGTTTATATTTTAATTGCAGGAAAGAAAAATCTGAAGGGCACTCACATAAAACTGAGTTTAGAGTCTAATATAAAGCTGTTACAGGCCACTAAATTTTACCAATATGATAACTCTGGGATAACTTATATGTAATGAGATTTTCTTAAAATAGAGCTAAAGAGGTTATAATTTGCCATTTTTAAAGGTAACAAGGTAAAATGGTCTCAAGGTGAAGCAAGGGAGATCTATGTACACATAAAGAAGAATTACGTATTATTAAGTACTGAGTTGTTGAACTAATTTGAGGGCATATCCATTTATTGAAGAAATATTTTTAGTGTTTACTGTGCAGCAGAGAATGCTCTAGGTGTTAAGATGGAGTGATGAACAAAACAGACCAGATTCTTGCCTTCATGAATTGTGGAGACAGGTTACTTTAGATTGGTCAGAACATGGTACAAAACAGAAGGAATATTGACTTTGGTGTCATTTTCTATTCCAGGTATGGTAGGTGGTTTTCATGTAATGTATCAGCTCTCTAGACCCTTCCTGTAGCCCTATATTGAGAAGGATTATATGCCACATCCTAGCTAGCTAGTGGGGAAGAGGGCTGTGATTGTACAGTAATGATCGCTGCTAAGGATGGAATGAGAATGGTGGCTTGTGTACTTTGGAATCAGACAGGCCTTGGTTCAAGCCCTGCCTCTGGCACTTACTAAACAAGGAAACTTTAGGAGAGTTATTTAAGTACTATGAACTTGTCCCCTCTTCTGTAAATACAAGGAGAATTGACAGAATTATTGTGCAAGTTAAAAATTCCAGAAGGTACTCATTATTATTTCTCCCCATCTTTTTTCTTACCGTAGTTTTCTTATATATACAATGAGGATATCACTCCTGGCCTTGTCTATTATTGTGAGGACTAAATAAGTGAAAGAAATGTGTGAAACTACTTTAATACAGTTTATAATGTGATATTACTGTATATTATATCTGGAAATGGAAAATTATTAGGCTCTTGGGCAGCTGAGGGAATGGAAGAACTCATGAATTCTTCCAGAAGTGAGAAGTCATGGATCCCCACATTAGCAACCCAACATTAACATAATTTAGCTACTCTTTGTTATTAGCCACTAGCTAACCTGCTGCTTTTAACCTCATTTCTTCTTTATATTCCCAAGAGAGTCTGGATTGGTCCACATGAGCATTGTCAGAATTTTCACACCTAGCCACATTTCAGTAGTTGGTTGACTGGCCTGTAGAGTCTGCTGCCTTTGGGTCTGGTGTTTGCTAGTGCTTGTTTTGACAGGAGCTGTTCTGGCCTATACTTGCCTCCTTTGCAGGGATTGTGGGGAAGGAGTTTCCCTCAGAAGGTGCTCTTGATCACTATAGGCACTAAACTGACCTGTTCTAAGAAAATGCAATGATTATTTAAAGGGGTTGGAGGAAATTAGGATAGATTTTATGGTGGGAGATGGCCTTTGAGATTTCTTAAACTATGGATAATTATTTTCTCCTTCCAGTTTTTCTTTTAATAAGTAACTGGTGATTTGAATTACTTCTTAGAATTGATTGAAAAATTCATTATTTCTTGAAGTAGCTACCAGCTGATGGATCAAATTCTTTTTAGATTTTAGTGTTCCAAAGAAAACTCAATAAGCTTTGAGTTCTTAGTAAATCAACTGGTAAATTATTCTTGATAAACCAAGATTTCACCAATCTTTTAGAGGTAACTTTGTGAATTTTTTTTTCCTAATGTAAATCCTACTCAGTTCTTCCAGCTTCTCCCATGTGTCATTATTGAAATTTGTCAACAATTTCTTAAAACTATTTGACCATAGCCAACTAGTATTAGAAGTACTGCTAATGTTTATAATATATACACAGTATATTTGTCTAACGAGATTTAATTCTTTTTCTTCCAGGTAATTTATCCTCAACATTCCAAACTTACTGATAAAGAAGTAAGTAAAAATATTGCTCCATATAGTCTGCTATTCTATTTCTCTTTGTTTTTATTGGTGTGTGTGTGTCAGCATATATAGCTTTTGTTTTCTTTTTCAGAAAACCAATATTTGCTATTTGTCTTTTCCAGATTCAAATTCAGGTAACTATTTTTCATGTGGCATTTTTGTTGAATTTTATACTAAGAATATGATCATACTATTAATATGCAAAAGTGGATTGAAATAGAGTATTAGAATGCAAACTCTGTTTCAGCCTAACAAGTCAGTGATGTGATTCTTAGTTTTATGATGCCAGTCATGTCTTTTTTATTTTAGTTGGCTCAACTTTTAAAATAAGTGTTAGGTTGTAATGAGGTAAAACATCAAGGAGCAATAAACTGTTGAAGTAGTGAAGAGATCGAAAACCAGCAACATTGGTATGTCTAGGGATTTATAGAAAGTAGCTTACTTTTAGTTCAAGATTTGGAAGCTTACCCAAGAACTCTGTGAAAGCAGTAAGTTTAAAAAAAAAAAACCACACACAGGGTGAATCTAGTTATGAAGCATGGCCATCAATTACTTGTAATAGTTTGTGTCTGTTAATATATGTAAAGCATGTGGAATAGTGTGTGGCGTATTGAAAACACCACATAAGTGGTGCAAACTATTATTATTTTAAGCTTGGTTTTGCTGGCCTTTTTCAAACTTGCCCTTTGTGTGGTCCTAATTGTTCAAATCTTTCAGGTTACCTCTTATGTTTCACTTTCAAAACAGCTTTTCAGGCTTCTAGTGACCAGAACATTCCACATCTTAGACCACACACAGTTAGAACCCTATGAAGCAAAGGCACTCCATTTCCCTTTCTTTTTGTCATTACTTCTAATATCCTGTTAACTTAGTTTAGTTAATCTAAAAGGGGAGATTTGACATTTTAATTTTTGAAAGTATTTTCTCCTTTCCTTATAAATGCTTCCAGGGTTCTTTGCTGTACATTTGCAACTCAGCTTTCAGGAATTATGTAAAAAAGAAATGGTATCTTGGTTTAAAAAAAAAAAAGCCTCTGAGAAATCCCAGCAGGAGTTTTATTCTAACTTGGAATTATTGGAATCTCTTAATATGTTTGCCTATTAATGAAATAATGATAGAGAAGTCCTATAGGATCTTCCGTCATTTCCTTACAAAGTCTACCCATGCAGTTCTGAGTGTAGTGAGTGTTGGATTGGACTTTCAGGACTCAGGGCAATCTGAGTTATAGGCATTACAAAATGAACTGACGTTATGTGATTGGAGTCACAGGTGGATTCCACTGCACACCCTTCTCTTTCAGATCACAGCTGGGTTTCATGGCTCTCTTTTTCACCTCTCTGCATGATCTTCAAGGCTAAGAAGCTAATTCCATGGTGTTTGAATAGCCTTTTTTATTTTTAGTTTTGTAGTGTCTTCCTATGTCCCTTTCTTATTAGAAGTTAGACTTAAGTGTAAATCCATGTAAATCAGAATTTGTTCAATATTTTAGGCACTTGAGTGGTGTACAGATGTTTTATAATGCCTTTCTTATGAGTTGCACATCAGATGAAGTAGGGTTTGTTTTATTTAAAGTATGGTTGATGCTTAGAAGTAAAATTGACAAAAGGTCTTAAAAACAGACACCTTGCCATCTTAGAAGATGATTTTTTTTTTTTAAGATTTTATTTACTCATGAGAAACACAGAGGAGAGAGAGAGAGGCAGAGACACAGGCAGAGGGAGAAGCAGGCTCCATGCAGGGAGCCTGACACGGGACTCGATCCCGGGTCCCCAGGATCACGCCTTGGGCCGAAGGCGGTGCTAAACCGCTGAGCCACCCAGGCTACCCTTTAGAAGATGAATATTAATCTAGACAGCAATAGGCTGTGAGTTTTATATGTATTTGAGAGTACTGGTCTCAGTTGTGATTATCCAGCCAATTTGTTTCACTTATATGTTTATAAAATGCATGTTGGGATTCCTGGGCCAACTTTGAAGTGGATTTAATTTTTTCCCAAAATAGCTTTTATTGTTATGTAAGGAAATCCAGGCACAGTAGAGCAGTCTTTAGGAAAGAATCATAATCTAAGTTTTGTTTCCATGGTGCACACTTAAAGTACAATCACATTTAGACTCACTGGCATATAGATAAAGAAGAATGCTTTTGGGATTCCCAATGGAATGATTTACCAATCCTCCATTTCCTCTACCTGCTATCCACACATATCTTAGATCCTGTGACTTTAGAAAAAAAAATTTTTTTTAGTTTGTTTTTATGTTTCAATATCTTGTTTGATTTAAGTGACTTTAATCTTTAGGAGCCAAATTTTGAATTTTAAGAAACCTGCATCTGGAAAATGTAAGGAATGCTGAATTTTATGAAAAGGGAGTAATAAAACTCCCATAGCCTTAACCACCACCCCCCCCCCCCCCGGCTCCATTCTCAAATCCTGGACATGCTGTAAGAACTTCCCAGTGACCAGCTGCACCTACAAGCTGTAGAGAATTGGTCAGGAAGACAGTTCACCAGGTCAAAAAGGCTTTAGTCATGTTAGTCTTGTCAACTGAGTTAAATAGTTCTTGTTTTATGTTTCAGAGGTTTGTCCTCTTCACACATAAAGGCTACTTAAAGAAATATAAATTCCTTACCTGGCTAGACCTTTGTTTTCCATCCTGACCTCACCATTATCATGATAGGAAATGAGACATTACAGAGTGGCAACCAGATTTTTAAATTTGGCATGCAGAAACTGATATTTAGGAAGAATAAGACAATCCTGATAGCCTGCAACCTCATCAAAAATAAATCTATATTTTTAGTACGAGCCATTGGATTTTTCTGCTCTACCTTACTAAGCATTTCAGAAATTAATGTGTACTTTTTGGTGGAGTTTTCTTTCTCTCTCTTTTTTTTAAAATGTTTTAAGTTTTTAATTTAATACCAGTACAGTGTTAACATACAGTGTAATTACATTAGTTGCAGGTGTACAATATAGTAATTCAGCACTTCTATACTTTATTCAGTGCTCATCAATACAAGTGTTCTCTTTTATCCCCATCACCTGTTTTACTCATTCCCCCCTCTTCTGGTAACTATCTGTTCTCTATAATTAAGGGTCTGTTTCTTGATTTGTCTGTCTCTCTCTCTTTTTCCCTTCTTAAATTCCATGTGGGAGTGAAATTGTATGGTATGGTATTTGTCTTTCTGTGACTTATTTCGCTTAGCATTACACTCTCTAGATCCATCCATGTTGTTGCAAATGTCAAGATTTCATTCTTTTTTATGGCTGAGTAATATTCCATTGTATATAAACATGAAAGGTGTGGGGGATGGGGTGTGTATGTGCACCACATCCTCAATATCCATTCATCTATTGATAGATACTTGGGCTGCTTCCATATTTGGTTATTATAAATAATACTGTAATAAACATATGGGTGCATACATCCTTTTAAATGAATGTTTTTTGTATTTCTTAGGAAATACCCAGGCAGAGTGATTACTAGATTGTTAGGTAGTTCTATGTTTAATTTTTTGAGGAACCTCCATACTGTTTTTCCACAGTGCCTGCCTCAGTTGCTTTCCTCCCAACAGTGTGAGATGAGAGGGCTCCTTTTTCTCCACATCCTCACCAATACTTGTTTCTTGTGTTTTTTATTTTAGCCATTCTGACAAGTGTAAGGTGATATCTCATTATGGTTTTGATTTGCATTTCCCTGTTGATGAGTAATGTTGAATTTTTTTTGTGTGTGTGTCTGTTGGCTTTTTTTTTAAAAAATAGTTAAATATCTTCTAAAGGGAAAAATTGAACCATCAACATATAAATCTCTTAAACTAAATGCTATAAGTATTTTCTGTTATCTCAGGTTTCATGTGTTTTCCTTATTTCTAGACTACTGTAACAAGAAACTAACTTCACCTGTGCTCCAGTCCCCCGTGTTCCTTTCCTCCACCACCAAAGAAATTTTAGTTTCTATGACTGCATTTAGGTATATATACTAAGTTGCTTTTAAAAAATTTAAACATATTATAAAGTTTCTGCTTCCTTTGTTAAGAATCTCATGTGCTAAGGAAATATAAGTACTACTTTGTATAATAGTAGTAAAATCTTGAGCACATATCATATTTAGTATCATTTTATCAGTTCTAAATATAATAGCCAGAAAGAATTTCAGTGACAAGTTATTTAATATGCCTTTTACTTTTTAGACTAGCAGTCTTTAGGAGGAAAGAATCATAGTCTAAGTTTTGTTTCCATGGTGCACACTTAAAGTAAAAATGGTTTTTTGTAATTATGGCCAGTTTAGGTGAAGTTTACATGTCTTAAGAGGTTTACTAGAAATGATTGATGTTTAAAAACATTAGTCAAAAACTTTTTAAGTTAAAATGAGAAAAATAGTGAATCTATTACTTGGGCACTTCCTGAGTCTCCTGTATTATGTCTTCTTAAAAAACCTTCTCATTGTATAATATAAAACATATACAAGGTCTAGAAATAGAATATTGCCAGTGCCTTACAAGCCCCCTCCTGTCCCCTCCTAAGCACTGTTTTCCATCCCCCTCCAAGTGCAACCACAATCCTGATTCTTAGAGTGATTGTCTTGCCTTTCTTTATACTTTTATCACCCAACTATGCATCTCTAAACAATATAGTTTAGTTTTGCCTGCCTTAAAAGGAAAAAAAAAAAAAGAAAACAACACTACATAAATGGATTTAAACAGGGTATGTTCTTCTGTATTTGGCTTCTTTTTTTTTTTTTTTGGCTTCTTTTTCTTATTATTATGTTTGTGAGTCAACATTACAAACAGTTTAAAATTTTTTTAATTACGTGGGAAAAATGGAAAGGAAAAAATAGTAAAGAGACCTAGAGTTAAGATGTGTGTTTTGCTGGTGGCTTTGCCTCTAACCAGCAAAGATGGCTTTGGACAAGTCACTTGAACTTTCAGGATCTCCTGTTTCAATGGTAAAACAGAATAGAATGGGTTTAAATAGTTGACAGGACTTTTTTAGCTCTAACATTTGGTGAATCTGGATGAAGAAATGTTATACTATGCTGTTCTTAATTACTTTCATTTTTGTTTTCATTAGGTTGTCTTGGAGATACCCAGTTTTGTTTTAGGTTTCGACAATCTTCTGGGAGGAGGGTGTCACTGCATTGTCTCCTGGATCATTATGACAAAGATTTACCAGTTTACTTAAAGGTTGGAAAAGTAGTAATAGAAAAATGTCCATGTGAGAGGAAACTTTAGAACTCAGCTACCTCTTATGGCATTCAGAAAGATTTTGCTTTTGTGTTATTACTGTATTTTACTGCTAAATTTCGTGAGTCTATTTCATAAGGATTCAGCATGTGTGACAGTAAGAGACTTTATAAAGTTACAGTTCTTGAAACACATAGTACGGTTATGATCTATAGAAATTGCTTACAATGTTGAGGTAATTTTCTTCCATTTGTGTTAACTCTTTGTTTAGATCTGGAGTTAGGGTGGTACTATAACCAATAAATGTCACTCAGAGTTGAAGATTCCCTACTTTACAATAGAATTGTAGTTGTCTCTTTTTTATTTTTTTAATAAGCTTTTTTTACAGTTATTATTTATTAAAGACAATTTTAATAATTCAGGTGATTTCAGAGTGTAACTTTCTGTTTGGTATTCCACATTTCCATCCCTTAACTTGTGAGGAACATTTCCATCTGTATGTCCTATCAGCACGTCCAATATGACATTATTTGCCTGAATATGACATTATTTGCCTGAAATGACATTATTTGCCTGAAATCAGCATTGATAGTTCACCTATCGTCGACTCATAGCCATCTACTCCTTTCCATGATCTTTTGATATTGCTATTAACATATTCTTTCAACTGTTAATAATAGCTACTAATTATTGGAGCTTGTTATGTTGTAGGCACTGTATTAATAAGCGTGTGTTATTGATCCTCCTTACAGTGTTCTGAGAGAGTTCCTTTTGCAAATGAGGAAATTGATGGCTGTTGAGGATAAGAAATTTGCCCAAAGACATCCCATCTTTTATGTTTTTCTTTTTCAATGTAATATATTTTACACAGTGCTGCTAACAAAAGTATACATGCGTATTACATAAAAATATAAAATGACTTTATTGCTTAATGAGTAAAGAGCTAATGATAGTTAACTATTTCCTTATCTTTACTTTTTGGGCCTTCCAAAATAAGACCTTTACGTTTCCAATTTTTAACTTTACCTCCTTTTATATACACGTGGCATATTTTAGCCACACTGAATTATGTGCTTTTTTTCCTGAGGTAGCTTGTATTTTTCTGTTTGCATATTTTTGCTCAAACCTGAACTGTCTCTGTCTCTGTTTAAATCATATCCATCTTTCAATGCCCAATTTGAAAATAGCTGCCTCCATGAAATCTTTACTGATCCCCAAATAGAGGTAATCTCTTTCCTCTTGGCCTCTTTGTGACACTTTGTACTTTCTACATAGAACCCGCTTTGAGCTTTGTTTTTATCCCTCTTTAGATTATAGAATTAATAACCTCAAGTTAATTAATAACTAATTAATAAGTAAGAGTTACTTTCAAATTATTTTTGATAAACATTTTAGTGTTTCATTTTTATTAGGTAAAAATAGAACTGGCTTTGTAAGATTCAGATTGGCAATTTAACTCCTTTTCTCTGTCTTTTGAAATTTTACATTAGGATACTTCATTTTATTAAGACTGACCCCTAACTCAATTATAGGTACAATTTAAAAATATATATATATAGCATTGGGGAAAACATAGAATTTGATTGTTTCCTGACTTCTACTAACTGGTATGAATATGAATAAAGAACATAAGCTAAGTAACTAGCTCTTTGTGTATAACTCATATTTCAGTTCAGGTTTATAAAGCAGTGTTATGTTAATATTAAAGGATAGCAATATGTATTTTTTTGTCATTTCTTTCATAGAAAGATCCTGCTTATTTTTATGGATATGTGTATTTCCGACAAGTTCGAGATAAAAGTCTAAAAAGAGGCTACTTCCAGAAGGTAAATTTTGTATATACTAAGGAAAAATATTTTTATATTACGGCTAGAAAAATGGAAACTGTGAGGAAGAATGGTCTTTAAAGTCTTTGATATTTTATCTTTAAACATACTACAACTTACTTTTTTTTTTAATTATAGACACCTGTCCCTAGATTTTTAAATAGTATTGAATTTTGCTTTTCTGCTATCTCTGTGCTAAATTCCTGATGGTAAATTATGGATACTATATGAAACTGTCAAAAGCCTAAAGAATCTGCTTAATTTTCACATTTTGGGGGGATCTCTGGGTGGCTCAGCAGTTTAGCGCCTGCCTTTGGCCCAGGGCGCAATCCTGGGGTCCCGGGATTGAGTCCCGCGTCGGGCTCCCAGCATGGAGCCTGCTTCTCCCTCCTCCTGTGTCTCTGCCTCTCTCTCTCTCTCTCTCTCTCTCTCTCTCTCATAAATAAATAAATCTTAAAAAAAAATTTCACATTTTGGAATGAGAGAAAGAATAAACAGATGATTGTAGTATTGTTACAGCTAATAAAAACCTGCAGTATCTTTTTTAAACTGCTAAGAGTTGGGACGCCTGGGTGGCTCAGTGGTTGAGCATCTGCCTTTGGCTCTGGACGTGATCCCAGGGTCTCAGGATCAAGTCCCACATCAGGCTTCTTGCATGGAGCCTGCTTCTCCCTCTGCCTGTGTCTCTGCCTCTCTCTCTCTCTCTCTGTGTGTGTCTCTCATGAATAAATAAATAAAATCTTTTAAAAATAAAAATAAAAAATAAACTGAGAGTCAGTAAATACACCTCATCAACATCTTAGTCATTACTATTTCCACTCTAAATGTACAATTATTTTATTTTCTTAAAAAAAGTTGGGTACACCTGGCTGGCTCAGTCAAAAGAGCATGCAACTCCTGATCTTGGGGTTATTAGTTTAAGCCCATGTTTGGTGTAGAGATTACTTAAATAAATAAATAAACCTTAAAAAATTTCCAACCACCAGTTTAAAAAATAAAAAATTGGTTCTGATTTAATCCCAGCTAACTGGGACACACTCTTACCTTTTGTAACTAGAATGTGCATTGACAACTACTTGATATTGGATGGAAAAGTAAAAAGGAGTTTTCAAGAAAAATAGATTAAAAAGAATGGCATAATTCATGTCTGAAATGATCCAACTATAGAGTCACAATTTTTTTTTAAGATTTTATTTATTTATTTATTTATTTGAGAGAGAAAGCACACTGTGGGGGAGAAGCAGAGGGAGAAAGACAAGCAGACTCCATGCTGAGCACAGACCCTAATGTGGGGCTTGATCCCAGGACCCTGAGATCACAATCTGAGCTGAAATCAGGAGTCGGGTGCTTAACCCACTGAGCCACCTGGGCACCCCAAGTCTCAATTTCTAAGTATATGGCTATAACTATTGAAAACTAAAATAGAACAATCATAAGTCTTAGTTTGAAAAAGCATAACAGTTTGCTCTTTCGGTATTAGGAGGAGTTCATCTAGCTAATTCCTAATACTGCTTTGCTAATGAAAATAGTAGTGAGGCTTTGGAAATTATCCATGACATTTGTCTGTTAGGAAATTCTTTTTCCTGAAGAGCAGGAGAATCTGTCAATGTGTCCTTATGCTCTTAAGGTGTAGTACTAGGTTAAACTTTTTACATTCTGCGACTATAGTTTTATGTAGTTTTTCTTTTAATCATCCACTGCAAAAGCTTTATTTCAAAATCCACACTTTTTGCTGATTTTAGCTTGCTAGTAATTGAGTAGTAAGAAATGACAAGTTTAAATTACAATCATTAGGAAAATAAAAAAAAAAAAAACAAACTATGTTTCTTTTTTCTCTCCAGTCCTTGGTTTTGATCAGCAAACTACCTTATATTCATTTTTTTCATACTGTGCTCAAACAAATAGCACCAGAGTATTTTGAAAAGAGTGAACCTTATTTGGAAGCAGGTAAGTTAAATAAACATTATATGAGTTAGATACCTTTATGAAGGAGTTTTAAGAATTTTGCTAGAAATGGCTGATAATTATAAAGTTGGCTTTCTAAAAAAATTAAGAATTTTAAGGGCTATATGGTAGAAGAGAGAGATGTAAAAAACTATTCTGCACCTTTACCTAACAACACCAAAGACCATATCTGTTACTGTCTCCTTTTGCAACAGAGATGATGCCTATTTATTAGGATAATAATAAATATGGAGTTGACAGTTTTGCTTCTCAGAATACTGTTTAAAGAAATCTTTATGTCCCTCAATACAGAGACCTCTATCGGATGGTATGCTTTTGTAGTTAATTTTGTTAGATGAGTAGGAAAACTCCCTTTTTTAAACCTATTGGTTTTTTTTTTTGCTTTTAAAAAATTTATAAACCAATTCATATCCTAGAACACAGGTATATTTCTGGTATATGTAAGATATTTTCACTACTTTTCTTTTACCTTTTTTTTTTTTCTTTTACCTTTTATCCTCCACCTTCCAAGGAAGGAAGTGAAAAGTGGAGTTCTATGGAAAGTGGAGTTCTAATTTCTAATGTTCCGTTTTTCATATTTTAATATTTGAACTTATAATAAGGAAATGTTTTATTTTTCAGCTTGTAATGATGTTGATCGATGGCCTGCCCCAGTGCCAGGGAAGACATTACATCTGCCTATTATGGGGGTTGTAATGAAGGTAATACCTTTTATTTCATTTGTCTCTTTTTCTGAGGAACTCTAGGAAGTTTATAGATGAGTTTTGCTTTTTAACTTCCTAATGATGTTCAGTACTATTACTGCTTTCATTTGTATGTGAGGAGTAAAGTGATACCATAGTCCATTCTGTTGCAGAGTCATTAGTCACTTAACTCCAGGGGCCATCTGTCCCATTTCATCCTGTAGAGTTTACATGGAGGTATCATTCTTATATAATACATGTGAATGTAAATGCCACCTTCTAGGGGTACCTGGGTGGCTCAGTGGTTGAACACCTGTCTTTGACTCAGGTTGTCCTGGGATTGAGTCCTGCATCAGGCTCCCTGCGGGGAGCCTGCTTCTCCCTCTGCCTATGTGTCTGCCTCTCGCTCTGGTCTCTCATGAATAAATAAATACAATCTTTAAAAAAAAAAAAAAGTCACCTAGACTTCTGCAACTCCATGGCCCTCCAGAGATGGGTGGCATTGCAGAATACTTGTCGAATTGAGTATAAATTAGTAAAAATGAAAATAAATTAGGAAAGCCGTGGTTCTTAGTTTTAAATGATCTTCGTGATGTATAGTGCTAGACCAGACATGTCTATCCCAGGGTATTGTGCTCTATTCACTTTTGCTTTCTTTTTCTTTTTTTCTTTTTTTTTCCAATGAATTTACATTTTGCTCTCAGGCTTGAATGTTCTCTAAGTGCTCTTGCAATTCATCTTCAAGTTGGACTTATTTTTGGCAATGCTCTGTTTTTAGATGTACTCACTTCTGTAGGATGTGTTCTGTTTTTTCCCTGGGAGATCATCAAAAGTAGTACTCATAGCTCTAGGTTGAGAGTTCTCATGATTTCCTGTTAGATTTATCCCATAGTTGGGCAAGCTTGAGAGGGTGTGTTTGGGTGTGTGTATATTAATGAAGCAAAGATTGGAACAATAAACAAGAAGCAGTATGAAGTTGATGCCCTTTTTCTGTTTTTCAGCACATTTGCTTCTCAGCGAGTTAGTGATTTCCATGTGTCTGGGAATATGGAGATCTCAGTTCACTTAACTTTCTGCTGTGACTAAAGATAAATAGGACTGTAGTTTTTAAGTCTGTTATAAATACTTTGTTTTTATGGCTTTTTAGGCATTGCTGAGTGTACTTTTTTAGTGGTTAAGAGAGTTTATGATCCCTCATTGTAATGGGACTCACAAATTATATAAAGGACATTCTTCTCTTTTATATCCAAAGTTAATTTCTTCTCTTTCTCTTTAAGGTACGGATTCCCACATGTCATGACAAGCCTGGGACAACTCAAATAGCGCAGTTAACTCAGCAGGTAGTGTGGTACTGTAGCAGAGTAATCTAGCATATATAGTCTCCTTAACCGAATTCTTAAACTAGCAAATGCAGAGTTTCTTGAGTTTATGATATATTTCTGAATATTACTGAAATACTCCATTAAATAATTTTGTAATGAATTGATAATAAACTTTCTAATGTTTCTCAGATTGTTTTTCTTGTTATCTGGTAGATACTAGAGAACTCAGAATATATACTGTTACAGTGCGGTCTAGGGGAAAATACAAAAAACCTCTTAGAAGACTAGTCAACAGACTTGTTTGTAGGAAACTCAAAGGATTCTGTAGTTATGATTGTCTTTCATTTCCCCCAAAGCTACATCTGTTCATGGGTGGGGTTGAAGTTTTTATTTGAAATGTTTCAGCTGGTGTATTAGCACTCCCATTGTTTGAAGCAAATTAAAATGGAAAACAGTGGGAAAACTAATTTTGCCTGTTATATGTATCAACTAGTGTTACGATAGTATTTCATGCAGTTGTGAATTAATCTGACATCTGATTATTGGATTAGTACTTTATCCAAGGAATCTTTCATCTTTGATCTTCTGTGTCAGGGAAGATTGCTAAGACCCCTTCTCTTTGTAGCTGTTCCTGGAGGAAGGGAATCTTAAAAGATAGGGCAACATGGCTTATTGATCACAAGATAGATATTTTCAAAATCAATTACTGTCAATTTTAGTGACATCTTTTGTACTCTTTCTTTTTTATCTCAGGCAGACACACATATATCTGTTATTTTACCTACTGTTCATGAGGTGGATCTTTTCAGGTAAATTTTTTTAACTCCCTTTTCTCTTTTACTTTGTGATATTGTTTGAATTTCTTTAGAAAATGAATGTTTTCTTACATATGGAAAAAAATGGAAGGAAGATAGGTAAAAAAACAAAACACTGGAAGAAAATACTCGTTATATTTCACATATTATAAATCAGTGGTTCATCCCTGGCTGTATATTATGAGCTTTGATAGGGAAATCTGGATATAGATTGGGTATTACATGGTAGAAACAAATTATTTTTTGTTTGGTTTGGTGTGAGAATGGTATTGTAATGATGAAAGAAAATGGACTTACTTTTTAGAGATGCATTTTTAAGTATTTTGAGATGAAATGTCATGCAGTTTGTATTTTATTTTAAAATACTTCGATGAGAAGTGCCTTGCTAGCTCAGTCAGTAGAACCTGAGACTCTAAAAATACTTCAGTAAGAAAAAAAACTAATAAAGTAAAAATGGTAAAATATTGTTAACTCTAGACATATAAATGAGGGTTCTTACACTACTGTCTTTATTTTTCTGTACGTTTGAAACTTTCCATGATGCAAAATTAAAAAAAGGGAAAGAGAATCTAACACTTAGAAAAGGAAAAAGTACTGGTGCCTGTGCTTTGCCCAGACCAGCTGAAGAGAAATCTTTGATGCTCAAGTTCCAGCTCCTAGGCGGTTCTGATGTGTACTCTAGCTTGAGAAACCATTGCTGTTGCTGAGCAGTTCTTAAATAGTAATACATGTAATTGAGAGTCATGTAAAAGATTTAGAATGGGTTCTCGGGTTTGGTTTTTTTGTGTGTATAGACTTTTGTGGATGTGTGACCTTTAAACTGCATGGAATACTGCTTCAGAGAGTGGTTAGTTTTATATGCTTGATTGGTTTTATACACTTCGCCCTAGCACAGCTCAGTAATCCCACTTCTAGGAATTTACTACAATAAATATGAAAGCACATATCCACACAAAGACCTGTATGCAAATATTTATAGTAGCTCTATTGATACCAGCCTAAAACTGGAAACAATGCAAATGTCCATAACTTGGTAAATGGATAAACAGATTGTGATTATGCATGTGTGTGGAATACTACTTAGCAATTTAAAAAAAAGAGTGCACCTTGATACAGTCTGCAGTGTAGGGGACTCTCAGAAGCATCATGCTTACTGAGAGGAGCCAGATATTAAAGAGCTACTTACTGAATGATTCCATTTACATGATATTCTAGGAAAGGGAAAGGGATCAAATCAGTGGTTGCCTAGGAGTGGGGGAGGGAAATCAACTACAAAGGGGACAAGGGAAGCTTTGGAGTGATGGAAGTGTTCTATATCTTTATTAAATGTGAATTTTACTGTATGTAAATTATAAATCTTATTTTAAAAATTTGGTTTTCTTTTAAAAATTAAATATTAAGAAAAGAATAAAAAAATAAAAATTAAAAATTAAATATTGTAACATTCTTAGAATGAAAAGGGGGAGTGTCCCCCAAATAAAGGAATAATTATCACAGGAAAAATATACTAAGAAGGATGCATACTATTTTACTTTTTTTTTCTTTTTTACTATTTTACTTTTTTAAAAAAGATTTTATTTATTTGAGAGAGAGAGAGAGAGAGAGAGAGAGAAAGCATGAGCTGGGGGAGGGGCAGAGGGAGAAGCATACTCCTTGCTGAGCAGGGAGCCAGATGTGGGGCTCTATCCAAAGGCAAATGCTTAACAGACTGAGCCACCCAGGTGCCCCCCCCTCCTTGTTTTAGAGAGAGAGAGAGAGCACCTGCACACAAGCATGTGGGAGGGGGCAAAGGGAGAGGAAGAAAGAATCCTAAGCAAGCTTCATGCATGTCACAGAGCCCCACGTGGGGCTCAGTCTCATGACCCTGAGATCATGACCTTAGCTGAAACCAAGAGTCAGTCCCTTTAACTATCTGAGCTATTCAGGCATCCCTACCATTTATACTTTTGATACTTAGGAATAAATTAAAGAATTGGCATAAGTTAACAAAGTTTGGTTACTAGACATGTTTTCTTTTGAACTGCTGGGTGCAAATCTAAATGCTTTTCAGTTTATTATCAGTTGTCTTTGCTTTTCTGGTAATTAATTATTCCTACCACTGACACTTTTTATTAGCATGTATCTTTTCTTCTGATTATGAATGACATGTTCTTGTTTTTAAAGTAGGACAAGTGAAGGGCACCTGGATGGCTCAGTCGGGCAAGCCTCCTGCTCAGGTCATGATCTCAAGGTTGTGAGATGGAGCCAGATATCTGGCTCCATGCTCAGTAAGGAGTCTGCTTGAGATTCTCTTTCTCTCTTCTGCCCCTCCCCCTACTCTAGGTAGGACACACTCTCTCTCGCTCTCTTAAATAAATAAAATCTCAAAAAAAGTTGAGTGAGTTTGTTGTTTTTCATTCTTGTTGCTCAGAAGGTGAGAAAACTAGAAGTCAAACATGATAGGCTTACATAGAGATAGTGCTGTGCTGAGCATTTAATATGTGACACTCAGATGTGTCCTTCATTCAGGACAACAGTCTTTGTTTTGTATTTAGAGAACTTACATTGTATGTTTATTCATGTGAATAAGTGTTTATCACTTATATTGAAGGTGATATTTTTATACCAAGAGTAATAAGCTTGAGAGCAAAGGACTGAGACCTGGAAAGATGTTTGAAGCTGAGTGGCAGAAATGCAGTTGAATGTAGGGATCTATCTCCTTTGTGCTGGGTCAAGTCTTGTTAATGCAGCCATCAAAATTGGGAAATTAACATTGATAAATTAATACCATTAATTCAGATGTCACCAGTTGTCACAACACTATCTAGTTCAGAATTATCTATTGTACTTACTTGTCATGCCTCTGCAGTTTCTCTCTCTTTCATTCTGGAATAGATCCTCAATCTTTCTTTCATACACTTGAGCATCTTGTGTATTACAGGACAATTATTTTACAGGAAATCCCTCAATTTAGATTTGTTTGTGATTTACTCAAATTAGATTCAAGCTCTGTGTCTTTGGCAAGGAGATAACTTGCTTCATTACTGATGATGTTTACTTTGTGATATTCTCCAAGCTTCTTAATTGATAAACTATTTGTTTTCCTTCTTGTGATTATTTTGTATAGGGCACTTTGAAACTGTGTTATCTGTGGGTAACTGTGTTACCCTTATACTTGAGGCTTAAAAGAACAAATATTACTTAATATAGCTTCTGAGGGTTAGGAATCTGGGGACAGCTTCACTAGATGGTTCTAGCTCTAGATCTCTTATATAGTTGCAGTCAAGATATCAGCCAGGATTTTAGTCAGTTGGACAAGTGGGGCATGAGGGTCTTGGCTGGAGGATCTATTTCCCTTAAAGGCTTACTTACTTGGCTTCTGGCTGGAGGTCACAGTTCCTTGTGGCTGCTAGCAGGAGGCCTCATTTCTAGCCATGTGGACCTGGCCATAGGGCAGCTTGAATGTTCTCACAGTATTCAGAATGCTCTGAGACCAGGCTAAAGCCAATATGTCTTTTATGACCCAACCTTCAAAGTTGTGTACGGTCTTCATTCAGTTCATTACAGGTAAGCCATTAATTAAGCCCACAGCTAAGAAAGGGAGAATTAGGCTCCATGTTTTAAAGGAGGTGTCAAAGAATTTTTAGAAATATTTTAAAACATCATACTGTGTATATCCATATGGACTGTTGGTTTCCTGGTTTTTCAATAGGTTATTAAAGTCCATTATTCTCATTTGATGTTTCAGTTGTCCTCAACTTGGCTAGTGAGACCTGTCTCACTTCAAATGGCCTCTTTTTTTTTTTTAATTCTTGTCATTCTTTAAATACTTCCTTGCTTTCTAGTGTAAGATGTTCCAAGCTTATGTGTTCTTTTTTAATTAAAAAAATTGACATATAATTCACAGACCATAATATTCACTCTCAAAAATATAGAGTTCAGTGGTTTTTACTATATTCCCAAAGTTGTGCATCACTACTATCTAGTTCTAGAACATTTGATCACTTCAAAAAGTAACCCTGTTCCTAGTGGCAATTATTTCCCATTTCTTCTTTCCCCCCAGCCCCTGGAAATCACTAATCTACTTTTGATTTCTATAGATTTGCCTATTCTGGCCAAACCATATAAATAGAATAATAAAATCTGTGACTTTTTGCATCTTTCTTTTACTTAGCATATCATTTTTGTGGTTTATCCATGCAGTAGCAATGAATTGTTTGTTCATTTTATGATGTTCCATTGTGTGGATATACCATATTTTGTTTATTCATTAATTCACTAAAGGACATTCAGATGGTTTTTACTTTTTAGCAATTATATGTAATGCTACTATGAACATTCGTGTATAAGCCTTTGTATGGACATGTGTTTTCAGTCCTTTTGGGTTCCAAGATTATCTTTTTTTTTTTTTTTTTTTTTAAGATTTTATTTATTTATTCATAGAGACAGAGAGAGAGAGGCAGAGACACAGGCAGAGGGAGAAGCAGGCATCATACAGCGAGCCTGATGTGGGACTCGATCCAGGGTCCCCAGGATCACGCCCCGGGCTGCAGGCGGCGCTAAACCGCTGCGCCACCAGGGCTGCCCGGTTCCAAGATTATCTTGTATTTTTTTCCTCCCCAGCTCTGGATTCAGCCATTTCTCTACTTTTTTTTTTTTTTTTTTTTTTTTAAGTGAAGAATAGGATTCAGAAGTCAAGATCTGGGTACTAGTTATACTCATTGCTATTGGAATATCACTGATTTTAGGCCCTCCCAGTGGACAGAGCTAGGGGATATATATTATATATATAGGGGATATATATATATTTGTAAAGGGGTGCATATATACATGCTGATATATAATATATATACATTTTTGCATATATATAAAAGATTTTGCATATTTTGCATATATATATATATATAAGATTTTATTTATTCAGGAGAGACACAGTGAGAGAGAGAGAGAGAGGCAGAGACACAGGCAGAGGGAGAAGCAGGCTCCACGCAGGAAGCCTGATGTGGGACTCGATCCCGGGACTCCAAGGATCACACCCTGGGCCAAAGGCAGGCGCCAAACCGCTGAGCCACCCAAGGATCACCTATATTTATTTTTATATCTATCTATATTGAAAACCATAAAGTCACACCACTACCCCCAATTCCAATCCTACAAGACAGGATTCATTCTAGTTTTCTCCCTTTCTGTATTTGTATTTCTTTTCCCTTTCTGAGGAACTACCTCTTATTATCCTTAATTTATTTATTTGATTGGTCCTTGTTAGTAACCAATCTCTCATCTCTGCTTAAACCCTCTCCTCCGTGCTAATGATTTTCATACCCTTTTTAGGCTCTGACACTCCATACCCAGCTGCCCTTCTTCATGGATTGCCTTCTTTAACCTTCCCAGGCTCTACGCATGCCAGATTGACCCACCCCCATGTGGTTACTCTCCTACCCCATTTAGGCTTCTATGTTGTACATAGGCCCCCTCTTCATATAGATGCCATCCTCACCTTTCTTGTGCTCTGGCTCCCCAATAGGAATGCCTTTCTTGTGCTAGGCTAACCCCAATAGGAATGCCCTCCCTATCTTACTGTGCTTCTACACCTCTTTCCAGGCCTCTCCATGTGAACACCCTATTTCCCCTGCTCTTATGTCCCACCATGGGCAACATCAGGACACTTCTAATACTCTATACCAGTATGCTCCTCCAGGCCTCTCACACTTCTTGGTCTCTGTCACCCCAAATCAGATTACCTCCACACATGTACACCTTCTTCACCACATTTGGGTTCCAAAAGCCCCACAGGAAGCCACCTCCTCCATGTGAATATCTCCCTCATCTCACACAGGCCCTCTCACCCTCCTCTGAACCAGCATGTCTTCCTTTCCTTCCTGGCAGAGATGCCTACCATGCACATGTTCTGCTTTAGGATCAAATTGTTTAGGAAAGAAAGAGGAAGAAGACCTCCCTTGCTTTATCCTTGAACTGTTTATTATTTTGTTTTTGTTCTTTTCTTTTTTTCCTACTTCCTTCACATTTTTTCTTTGCCTTTGAATAGTTAAAATTAACTTTCCCTAATTTCCATTTCACAAATATGTTTTATATTTTTGCACTTAAGCATCCTTCCTTCTCTTTGTGTATGTGTTTTCAACTAGGTAGATTGGTTATGATTTTTATAAGTAGATATTTTCTAATCTACTAGGAAACATCATTACCCTAATAGGAGGAAATTACTAATTAAGTATGTTACCAAATGTCTGAGGCTAAGTAGTGTACCAGAGTTGTGTCCTGATAGGCTTCCATCTAATTCCAGGGCTCCTATAAAAATAAGGAACATTTTTGTAAAGGAAGGATATGCCCAGGAAATCATTCTGTTGTTTAGTGTTAGAACTTCCCCTTGTGATTTGTTTTCATAATTTTTTTTAAATTTTTATTTATTTATGATAGTCACAGAGAGAGAGAGAGAGAGAGAGGGACAGAGACATAGGCAGAGGGAGAAGCAGGCTCCATGCACCGGGAGCCCGATGTGGGATTCGATCCCGGGTCTCCAGGATCGCGCCCCGGGCCAAAGGCAGGCGCCAAACCGCTGCGCCACCCAGGGATCCCTGTTTTCATCATTTTTTAATATGAAACTAGTAGCTTTTATTTTTAAAAATTTTAAAAGATTTTTATTTATTTATTTAAAAAAGAGGGGGGTGGAAAGCACAAGCATGGGAAGGAGCAGAGGGAAAAGGACAAGCAGACTCCCCGCTGAGCTGAGAGCCCAATGTGGGACTAGATCCCAGGACCTGGAGATCATGACCTGAGCCTAAGTCAGATGCTTAACCCATTGAGCCACCCAGGTGCCCTGAAAACATTAGCTTTTTTTTTTTTTTTTAAGATTTTATTTATTTATTCATGAGACACACAGAGAGGCAGAGATGCAGACAGGCAGAGGGAGAAGCAGGCTCCATACCTGGAGCCCGACGCGGGACTCAGTCCCGGGTCTCCAAGATCACACCCTGGGCCGAAGGTAGCACCAAACTGCTGAGCCACCCAGGCTGCCCAGCATTAGCTTTTATTTATTTATTTTTATTTTTTAAAGATTTTATTTATCCATTCATTCATGAAAGACAGAGAGAGAGAAGCAGAGACACAGGCAGAGAGAGAAGCAGGCCCCATGCTGGGAGCCTGATGTGGGACTCGATCCTGGGTCTCCAGGATCATGCCCTGGGCCAAAAGCAGGGACCAAACCACTGAGCACCCAGGGATCTCCAGCATTAGCTTTTAAAATAAGTACATTCTGTGAACATCCTTTGGAAAATTAATTTTTCTTGTTTTCTTCAAAATATTCAGAATAGAAATGCAAATGAAAGAAAGCAATATTATGAAATAGGTCTACATATGGTACAATTTAATTATTTTGTATGCTTTTATTATTAGCCATTTGTGTGTTAGTATATTGCATTTAATTTTCTAAAAATTGGAATGAGTCAAATTGGTATGTTTTTATGTGGATAAAAGGGACTTATGCATTACTGTATTCTAAATGAATTTGTATATCACAACAAGGTATAAATAGCTGGAAGAATTTATATCAATATGAAATTTTTAGAACTATTACCTAAGAATTAAAAGAAAAAACAATTGGATAAATAACACTTCTGTATAAATATCTTTCAGATGTTTCTGCCCAGTTTTCCTTCATAGTCAGATGCTTTGGGAGCTGGTTCTGTTGGGGGAGCCCCTTGTGGTCATGGCACCATCACCATCAGAGTCATCAGAGACTGTATTGGCACTTGTTAAGTGAGTATATTTGGTTCTTTTTTTTTTTTATATAAATTAATTTTTATTGGTGTTCAATTTACCAACATACAGAATAACACCCAGTGCTCATCCCGTCAAGTGTCCCCCTCAGTGCCCGTCACCCATTCACCCCCACCCCCCACCCTCCTCCCCCTCCACCACCCCTAGTTCATTTCCCAGAGTTAGAAGTCTTTATGTTTTGTCTCCCTTTCTGATATTTCTCACACATTTCTTCTCCCTTCCCTTATATTCCCTTTCACTATTATTCATATTCCCCAAATGAATGAGAACATACACTGTTTGTCCTTCTCCGGTTACTGTGGCCAAGTTCAAAAAGGGTGTTGCCTGAGTTCTCCTCTGGGATTTGATGGAATCCTGTCTCACATTTAGATCTTTCATCTATTTTGAGTTTATCTTTGTGTATGGTGCAAGAGAGTGGTCCAGTTTCATTCTTCTGCATGTGGATGTCCAATTTTCCCCAGCACCATTTATTGAAGAGAGTGTGCAAACATATCACAGGTGGGAAAATTGGCACAGCAGCATTTTCCCACCTGTGATATGTTTGCACACTGATTGCATTGATCCACACAACCGCCTGCCTTGTTAGAAGGCTATGCTCATGATTGTACTGTCTCATGGATGAGAAAATTAATTCAGGCTCCATGAGGGCTGGAACCAGGTTTTTGTTTTCCAAGCAGTAAACATTCATTCACTTAGACAAAGCTGGCACCTGACAAATATTAGTTGCGTGAATAGTCAGTGTCTAGTAAAAGATGTATTAACTGGGGAATGAGAATGCCAGAGTTTTACCCCATCTTCAGCCCCAAGTCTAGTGTTTTTTCAACACACTATTCCACATTATTACACATTTCCACTGTCTTTCTGGTTTTCTAAAATGAATTTGCTGTTTACTGAAATAAATTATTTCATTGTTAAGTATACTGAGTGTATTGATGTTTTATAGTTATTGAGTAGGGCCTTTAATTTTTGTGTCCTTTGTTTTAAATATTCTTGCTCCACAGCTGTATTTCTCCATTAAAGTACTTCAGTGACTTCCGACCTTATTTCACTATTCATGACAGTGAATTCAAAGAATATACTACTCGTACTCAAGCCCCGTGAGTAAACAAAATAACTTTTATTGACCAAGTATTACCTGTATAACCAAATTATGTTAAAATTAAATCTTGAGCTTATTGGCACCTTGATTTTATAAAGGAAGGTTTTAGGAGCTGCTTATAATACTTCTATATTTCAGCTGTCAATCTTATTTCTTTGAATAGTTTTATTAGTGGAAGCTGTATTATCATTAATAGCCATCTGACTATACTTTGAGTTCTGTTTTCTTGACTTACTTCAGGGCCTCTTACAGCATCAGTTATCTCTTCTTGCTCTATAACTTCCCTTTCCTTCTTCCTCTTCTTCCTCTTCATTGAATTAGCATGGAAACATGAAAATTCTTCCCAGTATGTCAAAGGGGAAAAAATTATCTTACCATTTCTCTCTTAGCTTCTGCTCTATTGCTCACCTTTTTTTCATAACTAAATTTCTAGAATAACAACAAAAAAATCTCCATTTACTGTCTCTACCTCTTGGTTTTCTGGTTGCTTCTCAGTGTGCTACAGGTTGATTTCTCTACTTCTAGTTAAGTCATTCTTGCATAGTCATCAAGACCCTCTTCCTGCCCAACCCCATGAGCACATTCTGCCCTATTTTTCTTGCCTTCCCTTTCTTACGGCATTTAAGCTGTTGAGCTTGAAAGCATTTTAATCCTTGACACCACTCTCACCTGGCTCTCTGGTGAAGCATCTCAGTCTCCTGTGCAGATCTCTCTGTCTCTGCCAGCACCTTAAATGTTGGTGTTCTCAGTGCTGTGTTCTGGGATCTGATTTCAGACTGATAATTCTTTCTGAGGAATCTTATCTATATCCACTGCCTCTGTTAACACCCATATACTGATGACTGAAATTTATCTGCCTAGCCCACATCTTTGCAAGGTGCAGACCTATGTCCAGGGCTTTGTTGTTGTTTTTTACCACTTTACCACCTGGACATCTTAATGGCACTTGAAACTAAATGTATAAAACTGAATTCCTTCTGTCTCCTTGTTTTCTTCCCTAAACCCATGCTGCTTTTCATGAATGGTACTACTTTTCACTTAGTTATCAAAAACTTTAAGTTTTCATAAATTTCTCCTTCTTAATATGCCCCACATCAAGTTTTACCAATTCCATCAATTCAACACCATTAAATCTCTCTCATAGTAATATTTGTTATCTGCTTCCCAAAAGTCTCTTCCTGCTCTTTGCTTCTATCTCCAGTCTTTGTCATATCTGCTGTTGCATTCTCCCAAACCCCTTCTCCTCTTTGTAGAGCATCTTCCAGATTTCCCCTAGAGTGATCTTCCTACATTTCATTCATGTGGCATCCTTCCATTTGATTCTCTAGTACCTTCCATTTGCCTATTTTTATTTTATTTTATTTTTTTAAAGATTTTATTTATTTATTCATGAGAGACACAGAGAGAAAGAGAGAGGCAGAGACACAGGCAGAGGGAGAAGTAGGCTCCATGCAGGGAACCTGACGTGGGACTCCATCCTGGGTCTCCAGGGTCACACCCTGGGCTGAAGGTGGTGCTAAACCGCTAAGCCACCGGGCTGCCCATGCCTATAAGATTTTTAAACTTCTTAGCGTATTAACTTGGTACTTAATAATCTGGCCAGCATCTGCCCATCTACTTTCATTTCTGACTGTTTATCATTCTCGGTTTATGCTGTAGGAATGCTGAGCTATTTGTAGTTCTTCAAGCACACCATGATCTCGCTTCATTGATTTGCTCATACTATTTGTTCTCCTGCATCACCTTTAACTCTCATACCCACTTGGAAAGAACTTCTATTCATCTTTCATATCTTTGCACAAATGTCCTCTCTTTGGTGAAGCTGTCTTTGTTTTTCGATTTTTTTATGTTAGGGAGAGAACATGTGCACACATGGTGGGGGCAGGTGGCGGGAGGGACAGAGGGAGAGGGAGAGTGAATCTTCAAGCAGACTCTACTGAGTGTGGAACCCTATGTGGGGCTCAGTCTTAGGACCCCAAGATCATGACCCTGAGATCATGACCTGAGCTGAAATGAAGAGTTGGATGCTTAACAGACTGAGCGACCCTGGCATCCCTGGTAAAGCTGTCTTTGAATACCCTGATAGACATCGTTTCTCCTTTGTAATTATCGTATGTTTTATACCACCTTCTCTATTTTCTGCTTTGTGGCATTGTAATCAGGTATGTATGCTTTTCATTCTGTATGCTTGTAGAAAGACCATGTCTTTTCATCTTCACTTGCCTGGTCCTAAACCTGATGCCTGGCAGACAGTTGATACGTAATGCGTTGAGTGAGGGAAGAAATGATCTATTTTTCAGTCTAAAGAAATTATAAACTATTCTTCACTGGAACATATGTCTTCTTCTCACTTTGTTTCTGTTTTGTTTTATGCAGGCCTTCAGTCATATTAGGAGTAACCAACCCTTTTTTTGCAAAAACACTCCAGCACTGGCCACACATTATTCGAATAGGAGACCTTAAACCTGCAGGTAACATATAAACTCAGTGTTCTGTTTTTAGTGTGTGAATTGGCTGAGCAGATTTATTTCTTCCCCTTTGTTTTCATCTCTTAATTACTTTTTAATTATGTTAATGGAAAGCTTTTTTGGAGGCGATCTGAATAAGGGCCTTTGGAGAAGAGCATAACTTCCCACTAAAATATACAGATTCTTTTATGTGTAACCCATCATGTCCTCCTAGTAAAAAATGTACGTCTAATATTCTAGTGTTATAAACATGAAATGAATTACAACAACGAAGCCTCAAAATTTGACCGACTTTTAGTATATGTATAAGCCCAATTAAATGGGAATTTCCAACATTGCTTGAATAAAACCTTGTAGAAGCTTGAATTATTCACCTTGGCACAAAATTCTCTGCTAGGTCTCAAATAAGTATTATACATTTCTCTGGCAATTGTATTAAGGAATGGTCAAAGGTTGTGCTTTCCTTGAAGAAGAGATAAATAGTATTTGGCCTGTCGTAACTGTTGTATTATGACTGTATGTATGTATGAATGTATTTAAATGAGTAAAATAATTCAGAGATTAGAAGCTTTGTTAACTTAGATGATAATTTAATGGTCTCTCTGACATTCCTCACTGGACAGTCATGGGTTGTTTACTGAAATAGTGAGACTTGAGATATTGAAAATACTTTTAAATAACTTTATGGTATGTTACTTTTAAAGACTTTTTTGGGGGGACGCCTTGGTGGCTCAGCAGTTAGGCATCTGCCTTTGGCCCAAGGCATGATCCTGGTCCCACGATTGAATCCTGCATCGGGCTCCCCATTGGGAGCTTGCTTCTCCCTCTGTGTCTCTGCTTCTCTCTGTGTGTCTCTCAGGAATAAATAAATAAATAAAATCTTAAAAAAAAATAGTTCTTTTGGGGCACCTGAGTGGCTCAGTTGGTTAATTGCCTGCCTTCAGCTCAGGTCATGATCCCAGGCTCCTGGGATCAAGCCCCACATCAGGCTCTGTGCTCAGCAGGGAGCCTACTTCTCCCTCTCCTTCTTCCCTTCCTGCTGGCTTGTGTATGCTCTTTCTCTCTAAATAAATAAAATCTTAAAAAAAAAAAGACTTCTTTTGGTGTACATAGATATATTTAAAGTATTATTTAATATTTATGAGATATTCTTTCCAGTATATACATAAATCTACATAGATATGTTAGACTGAAGCAATAACTGTTTAAATTCTATTATTTACAAACACTAGACTCAATCTTATACTGAAATCCTTAAAAGTCTTAAAAAATAGAGGAAGGAGCAGATAACTTCACTTTGGCTGTCAGATCTGCGTGTTCTTAGAACAGCCTCTTTAGCCTCAAATTCTCTGCTAGATGAGTTCCTGACTCGTGGCATTCTGTAAATGTCATAGTCACCTGCCATTTCACTGGTATCCTCTCTCTATGATTTAGTGATAATTTAGAATACAGCAGTCACCAGAGTCTTAGCTATAAGAAGATATCGAACATTTTTTAGAATCTTAATTTAATATTGACATTTATTTTCATGGTTTTGTCCTCTTAATCTAGACTAAAAGCATCTGAGTCGGATCCAGGCTCAGTGAGGAGTCTGAGATTCTCTCACTCCCTTTGTCCTTCCCCCTGCTCACATATACATACTTTTTCTTTCCTCTCTGAAATAGATAAATAATCTAAAAAAAAAAATTCTAGAAACTTGGGTATTTCTGGACTTTGCTCTTCTCTCAGTCTGTCCCCAAAGCTTCATGGCTTTCTGTCCTCCACAGAGTTCCAGGGGCTCCCTGTCTTCCCTGTTCGTTCCTTGCCGCACACATCTTGCTTCATTCAGGTTCTGTATCTACCCAGGAGCAGTACTCCACAATGCTTCTATTTTATCCTCTGGGCTTTTCTCTTTCACTTCAAGCTCCTTTGTGCAACACAGCAGACCTGCTCATGAGTCCTGTCTATCTGTAGTTCAGGCCTGTAGCTGTGGCTTACGTTATCACCACCTCGTGTCAGAGAATGTGTTAAATGCAGATTTGATCCTGTCAGCTCAGTCTCCCCATCCACTGCCCGCCATGCTCATGCTTCTGATCTCTCAGTCACCTTGGATGTTAGACATCTTTATAGTTCCTCTTGATTTGACCTTTGAGTACTTCTGTAGCTTTATCTCTTGCCTGTCTTAACATACTCTTCATTCCTACCTCTATAGTATAGTGGATAAGAGTGATGGCTCAGGAGTTAGACTGCCTCATTCCATATCGTGGTTCAACCATGTTATCTGCGTGTCCTTGGACAAGTTTTTCCTCTAGAGCCAACAACCTATCTGAATGGGATATTGGCCAGTCAGAGTGGATGATGATGCAGGAAAGAGCCAGTGCTGGTGCATACCAGGTCAGTTTTATCCATGCCTTAGTTTCTTCATCTGTGAGATGGACTTGATAAAACCTGCTTCTTAGAGAAGATTAAATGCAATCATTCATGCAGTAGTCTTAGACCAGGACTGGCACAAATAAGGATGGAGTATGTGGTGGCTAGTACTATCCTTACCATTATGTATAACTCTTTAGGCAACATGCTGTTAATGCTTCTGGACTCAGCTCTACCTCAAACATCTTTTTCCCCCTGGATAACTTTTTATTTCTCTTATAAGACTGCTTACATATCACTTCCTTTAGGAAACCCCAATAATTTTTTCACTCCTCTTTGGCTAAGACACTCTTTTGTGTTTCTATAGGATCTTGTTTATCCCAGCAGGTATCCTTCCAAATTGTCATATATCTCAATTTGTCTTACTTTGCCTTTAGATTGTGAGCTATTTGATACCAGGAACTAGTTTTTATCTCCAGTATCTTGTATTTATTAACATTTACTGAATCAATGGGAAAAAATCAGTCTATTTGTACCTGATATCGACTTATTTCATAGTGTCTGTTTAAAGTTATTATTGAGATGATTAATAAAATTAGGATATCATTTTTATTATTCTGCAGCTTTTCTATAAGATTGAAAGTACTTCAAAGTAGAGAGTTTACAGAAATCTCTGTTTTACCATAGTACATACTTCTAAAATTTTTTAACAAGATTACAAGTGAAAATTCTGTGTTCCTGCAGAACCACCCCCAGAGAAAACTGTAGTTAGCATTTAGATTTAAACAAAAATATGTTGTCAATTTAGAGCCTTAAATTAGATAAGCTCTAGATTGTTTTTCACTTCTTAGGTCCACTTTGTCCTACCTCTTCCTGCCTAAGAGTAAGGAAAAAAAGTAGTGTGTTAATGATCCTTTTAAGTGCTTGTCTTGGGGCATTTTTCTCCTAATTAGAGAGTTGTTTAGATTGTAGCTTCTCTTGACCCGAAGACCAGAACACAGCATATGCTGCTTGGGAGGCCTATCCCTTTATGGCTCAGGTCTGTGGTTGTGACATACACTGTCACCACCTGGTGGCAGTGTAAGTTTCTACAATGCAGGAACAGACAGGGAGGTATCAGAAAACTTTTGAATACTATAGGAGTTGCTTGCAATTCCATTTACTCTTCAAGGGTATTTTATTAATATTTGGCACATAGATTTTTCAATTTCATGTATTTGGCACAAATATTTTAAACTATAAATTGAATGACAAAAGGAAAAATTTTAAGTAATGGATATTAATGAAAGATCAAATACCCATTTTATATAATTTATATACATTTTTTCTGTAATGCTATAATAATCCAGCATTCCCTTTATCCAGTTTTAAAGTATCAGGAATAAACTCTTGAATATTATTTGATATTAAGAAGAATACTTTAGGGGCACCTGGGTGGCTTAGTCAGTTAAGCATTTGACTCTTAATTTCAGCTAAGGTCGTGATCTCAGGGTCGTGAGATCGAGCCCTGCAATTGGGCTCTGGCGCTAAGTGTGAAGCCTGCTTGAGATTCTCTCTCTCCCCTTCTGCACCTTCCCCTGCTTTCACTTGCTTTCTCTCTCTCTCTGTCTCTCTCTCTAGTAAATAAATAAAATTAACAAAAAAGAATACTTTAGTTACAAGATCCCTGACTAATAAACAGTCAGTGGATTATTAATCTTGCAAAATTCCAGTTTTGTAATATATAAAACTTGAATAATTATAAGAATCTTTATGATATTTCCTTCAGGTGAAATTCCTAAGCAGGTTAAAGTAAAAAAATTGAAGAACCTAAAGACACTGGATTCTAAACCTGGTATTGACTTTTTATTATTATATTTTATTATTTTTATCAATTCTTAAATATATACTTATGTGGGTACTTGGGTCTTACTATTTACCTTATTTTCTATTCTTTTTAGGAGTTTATACTTCTTATAAGCCATATCTAAACAGAGATGAAGAGATCATAAAACAATTACAGAAGGTAATTACTTGCTTATATTATTAATTTAAATTTCCTTGTGCAGGTATGCAATATCTAGGCAGTATGTGCATTATGTGTGATATGTAAAATGAGGTCTTTCTTTTGAACCAAAACTTCATAAAAATCAGGAGATTAAAGCAGCAATGATTATGGGCTTGAAATGTGGAGCTGCTGCTACCAACTAGTACTGGTCTTTCTAGAAACTTAGGAGTTACAGTGAAAAAGTTACAGACTCTTGCATGAAGTAGTTTAGCATCTAACAGAGGAGAGTTAGCATTTTTTGGAAAATGTAAATAATACTCATACAGCAAGTATGAAATAAAAACACTTCATTGTAAACTGATACTTTTAAGTGTGAGATGAACAGTGATGTTTTGCTCTAAGGGTTTTTCCACAAGATATTGCACAGTGAACTTCAAGTTAAATTACTTCAAGATGAGGTTCTAGGGTTCTTTTTAAATCAAGTAAAAATATGTATTTACATATCAGTTGAATTACTATAATTATGCATTGTTTTATTTTCTCTTACACTAGAATGTAGGTTCTCATTGCTTTTTCTTTCAAGGGTGTACAACAGAAGCGTCCTTCAGAGGCTCAAAGCGTTATTCTCCGACGCTATTTTTTGGAACTGACGCAAAGCTTCATCATTCCATTAGTAAGTTAACACACATATTTGCTTAATTTAGTGACTAGTTGAGGGATATGTGAATGCTTTCCCCATCCACAAAACCTTCAGTTGTGTGCTTTGCCTGCTCATGTGTTTGATGATTAAAAATAGAGCCCTTTGCAAGAGACCTGGACTCTCTTCTAATATTAACTATGTAAGTTTGGCAAGTCACTTCCTTCCTCTGCCCTCATTTCTTTATCTGTAAAATATGGCTAATTCCACTTTTCCTAATTATCTTACAGGGTTGCTGTGAATCTTAAATGAAATAATTATGAAATACTACATAATTATTGCACTTTATACCTTAAAAGAAGGTTAACCTGGAGCCTCTTTCTCTGATATTATTTTTTTTTTCAAAGCCACTTTAAGATTTTATTTAGAGAGAGAGAGAAAGCTCATGAGCAGGAGGAGGGGCAGAGAATCTCAAGCAGACTCTGTGCTGAGTGAGGAGCCCAGTGTGGGACCTGATCTCATGACCCTGAGGTCACAAATGTGGGCCAAAACCAAGAGTTGGACACTTAACCCAACTGAGCCACCCAGGCACCCCTCTGATACTATTTTCTTGAGCATGATTTGATATGATATCCACGAGACTGCTAACTCCATAATGATAGGGACCTTATCTGTCTTGTTCATTATCTTTTCCTCAGTTTGGTATCTGATAGCACTCAATACTTATGGAATAAATAACTACATGATATGGTTCCTTCTATAAAACTCTGTAGAATAGTATATTAAAATACTAAAACTTGCCTCACAGTATCAGACAGTACCATAATGTGGTCTTAGTATGGAGACTGAATTGGAGAGAGATGCCAGGTTGTTATTAATGTAATCCGTCTAGGAATATCATATGGGAGCAACCTGGAGATCTTCACTATTACATATTGAAGCAAAATATTCTTTCTTGGTCTGTAGATGTTAATTAATTTTGTTCCATTTAAATCTGTTTGATTTGAAATGAACTTTACTGTAGTGCTTAAGGCATGGGCTGAATTCAGGTTCAGGCTGCATGACCTGGGCAGCTTACTTAGCTTTTCAAAGTCTCTTTCCCAGTAAGAATTGCCACATGGGATGGTTGCAAGGATTAAAAGAGATCATGCATGTAAAATATTGAGTACATTTTCTGGTACATACCCAATAAGGTTAATGATTTTCATTAAAAATATGCAGTCCCTTGGATTACGTAAGATTTAGTTAAATTCTTATTGAAAGTCTGACTTCTCAATTCAGTCTAAATTTTCCTATGTCTGTTATGGGGAGTGACGTATTGCTGCTGTCTATTAAAAGAGCATATGATGAAAAACTTGTAAACCTATTTTTTTTAAGCCCATCTGTTTAAATGTTTTTGAAAAGTCTGTAGGTAAGAATGCCTAACTTTGGGGCATATCATTGGCTCAGTTGAGCATCCGACTCTTGGTTTCTGCTCAGGTCCTGGTCTCAGGGTCATGGCATTGAGCCCCACATGAGGCTCTGTGCTCAGTACAGAGTGTGCTTGGGATTCTTTCTCTGCCCTTGCCTACACTTGCTCGCACTGTCTCTTTCAAGTAAATAAATAAAATCTTAAAAAAAAAAAAGAATGCCTAATGTAGGTTAATTTTTTCTTGGTTTTAGGAAAGATACGTGGCAAGCTTGATGCCTTTGCAGAAAAGTATCTCTCCATGGAAGGTATAACTATATTCAATTAAATTCTTATTTGAATTCTTTGTCATTAACTTCTGGGAGTATATCCATTTCTAATTTTTAAATCAGTATGTCATAATTTCTAGAGTCCACCCCAATTAAGACAGTTCCTTCCAGAAGAATTTATGAAAACACTTGAGAAAACAGGACCTCAGCTGACCTCTAGAATAAAAGGCGATTGGATTGGACTTTACCGGTTGGTCTTTTTTTCCCCTTTTTTCACCCATCTGTAGAACTTTGTTTAAAAACAAAACAAAAAACTGGACTTAAACTTATATAAAAAAAAAAAAATTTCATAGTTTCACATGGTTCTCCAAGCTATAGGTAGGAAAGGTATCGAGGAGAGGAAGTAAGTCATAATCAAACTTTGCTTTTTTAAAATTTATTTTTATAGGCACTTTCTAAAATCTCCAAATTTTGATGGTTGGTTCAAGACCCGACGGAAGGAAATGACCCAGAAATTGGAGGCACTCCATTTAGAAGCTCTTTGTGAAGAGGTTAGAAAACTGTGTTTATGTGATGATTAACAACTATTGAAAATAAAGATAAGATTATCCTTAGAGGCTGGGAGATTATATCCATATCCACTACTTTGTAAATAGTAATACCTAACTTTTCTAGATCATGCGCTGTGTGCCAGGGGCTATGTAGGTGTTTAATATGGACAATGTCTTTTAATCCTCACAATGATGCATTGAAGTAGGTGTGTTATAATTTGCATTATGAAACCCTCAAGGATTATAAATTAAGTGACTTGCTTCAGATTGTATCATTGCTAAGTAATGGAGCCAGCAGTGAGCTAGAGCCCTACTTCTACTGATCCACAGCAACTAACTGTGTACATCTCTTCCCAACTCTGTGTTCAGTGATCTCAGGTTGGTAGCTTGAAATTGGTTACAGTTGGTGTATTATACCACATTCGCAAATGCTACATACAAACCAGAGACTTTTCCTGGAGAATTGGTGGTTACATATTTATTAGCATAGCACTGGCTAGAATCAAGATTCAAATCTGAACACCTTTTTCAGTAACTATTCCCAATTTTTTAATGTATTTTGACTGTTTATAATCTATAATTTGTCACCAGACTATGTTAAATTGAGCTACTTGTGAAAATATAAAGGATAGTCTCATTTTTATTTAACTTGAGGTGCGCTAGCCTTGAAGTGAACTTTCTGATCATAAACTCCCAGTGACTGTGATTTTAAGAGAATGAATATAATGAAGGCAACTACAAATAAGCCAAGAAGAGCTTGTTTGTAGATGTGAAAGTTTACATTCAGTAATATATTCATGTTCAGTTATCTGAATTTGTTAGTGTTCCTTATAAATTACTTACTACTTAATAGGGATGGGGGTTAGTGTTATACTCTGAGTTGCAGTTTTTTCATTGATATAAAAGGGCTACCTCAGAAAGGAGTTTCTTACATTTTATTTACAACTGTTAGTTCTGATGTCAAAAATTATCTCATTAATATTGTTAAAATATCATATGGAGAATTATTCTTGTGTTTTAATGCTATATCTGAGTTACATCTTTATTCTCCTTTTCCTTCCTATCCTTCCTGCTCAGTAGCCTCACCTGTTAAAATAGAGCAGTTTGAAAAGTATTTTGAGTATTAACTGATCGGGGTTTTGTTTATTCTTCTAGGACTTACTTCTCTGGACCCAGAAACACACAGAAGTAGAAACAGTAGACCTTGTATTGAAGCTAAAAAATAAGCTGGTATGTAGCCAAAACAGCAAAGATCCATAAAGATATTTTCCTCACAGTTGAGGTGACAATTCATGATGTGAAACAGAAGTAGCTTTTTTAAACAAGAGTGCTTAAGATTGGCCAATTGATGGTAAATCTGAAAATACTGGGTCACTCAAGCAGATCAGAGTGATGCCATATTATTTGAAAAGTATTTACAGGGAGTCTAATGAGCTTTACAAAAAAAAATTGTCACATATCTAATACCACCTAGTACCTATAGATATTATCTATTAATTTATATAGAAGTCTTTTATTGATCTCAACAATATATTGTTTACATGACATGTTCTTGCTTTTTTACAATTTCTGTAAATGCTGGTATAAGTTTGAATTTTCCAAATCATCAGACCACTAAACTTGTTCATTTAGAGAATATAATATATTAATACAGACTGAGGATAATTTAAATGCTTCCAAATGTTCCTTATGTAGTTGCAGGCTGATCGAGAGCGCTTGCCTGTGAAACCTGACACCATGGAAAAGTTACGGACACACATAGATGCAATTATCTTAGCATTACCAGAGGACCTACAAGGCATACTGCTCAAAACAGGCATGACATGACACTTGCCAGGATTTTCCAGCCGAAAAAGATTGTGCACCATGAAGCATACTGACATTTCAACCCAACGCACAAGGGAGATGTCTCAGTGTGGAAAATAGCCGTGAATGCTAGCTACAGGGTGGAAAGACTATACTGACTAAACAGACCTTTTTAGTGCATTATTTTTAAAAATGGATATCTGTGGTGGTTCCACTTTAATACTGAAATACCGAAAGGCATTTCTATATTTTTAATCATGTTCAAAGTGCTCTTATGAGAGACCTGTGGGGCCATCAGTTTAAGTGATTCCAAACTGCAGTGCTGGCATTGCAGATATTTTTTTAAATTGGTGCTGTTTTGCCCAATCATGTTAAAACTCAGGGGGATATAAAAATAACATTCACACTGGCTATCTTCTTAAGAAGAAGGAAAAGACTGATCTGTCCGACTGTAGTTAAAAGTAATTAATGCTTTTGTAGTGCCTTCTGTTGTCCTACATGTTTCACAAAGGCCAGCTGCTAGTCTTGAAGCTTTTTCTTAACTTGATTATGATATGTAATTTTATAAGGCATTCTTCTGAGTAATCACTGCTTAAAGACGTTTCTTGCCTCCCATCATCATGTGTATTAGTAGTGCCCTGATGTGATCTTTTTTTGTCATGTAGGTTTCATTTCATTAAATTCTATTATCATTTCAAGTTTAGTCTTACCAGTTTCTCCAAAGGCAAGAACGCATCTAGTATTAATTATGGAAGAGTTTAATCTCTTCTTAACCGTTTACTAGTTGAACCTGTTTAGGTTAATTAGCTTGGATGTTTTCCAGAGACATTCTAATTGTAAACCTCATAATCAGCTATTTTTAACTGAATTCTCATGTCAAAGGCATTCATAAACCTTTTGTGTTATAGGCATGTGAGTGATTGATTATAAGATTAGTTTTCAGCATTATTTGTTTGGTAGGGGTCCCCCCCCCATTATATTTCTCAGAATACTGTCCCTACTGTTGTTGGACATGGGGACTTTGCCTAAATCACTGTTAAGCAAGCTAGTTTTTTTATTGCACCACTAGGCTTATTTTGTTTCAGTTTTGTTTTGTTTATACTACCTTGCCAAAAATAGAAGATTGTGATTTGGTAAAGTTAGGTTGTTTGGTTTGTGTTTGAGTAGGAGTGTCCTCCAGAAGCCACTATTTAAAATAGCCACACATGACATAGCACATATGTAAATAGCTGTGTCTTGAATTACCCTCTCAGTAACCACATTTAGTTGTATGTGTTTGTAAAAGAAATGGCTTCAGAAGCTGTCTCTTGTTTTCTGTTAATGTAACTCTTAAGGGCACTCCTGACCCAGAAAGCCTCTTTGTGTTTGTAACTGTGGTCTTATACCTAAATGTGCCCTTTTCTCCTGGATACAGTCTCTTGAAGCATACCTCAAAGTCATAGAGAGAATATGGCATTTGAAAGAAATCATTTGCCTTGGATCATATGAGTTATTTTGTGAAACAACATTGTCCTTATGGAAAGGGGCAACTACTTTTATATGCTAAAGTATTTCATATCTTTCTGGGAAACCTTATTTAGGTATAAATGGTCATCTTATTATTTTTCAAAAAGGAGTATTTTAATAATCTTACAATTTATATGCAGTTTGTGACCAGAATTTGAAAGTTGTTAGTGTCATATCAAGGATCTTTTAAATTATGCCACTACAGGATGTATCATTTCAAGTTTATTTTGCACAGCTAAAGAGTAGCAAAGGATGCCAAGTAGCAGAATAACAGTAGCTTCATATTTACTGTATTTAACTAAAACCTAACACATGTTGAAATCCATACCATACTTACCTGGTTTATCTATTAATTTCAAATTATGTACTTGTAAAAGTAACTGAAAATTGCATTGGGAATCTGAGAAAGACTGGTAATTTTTTGTGTGATTTTCAGTGTTGTCTTCTTTTTTTTTTTTTAAGGAGATATTGTTAAGATCTAAAACCTGTCATTTAATGTTATCTCCACCAGCATCAGAGGGAATCACTGTTTTCAGGGTGTTATGTAATGCCTAGTGCCTTCCGTTTTCGTGAAAAAGAGGTTTTGTGAAGGCATTTACGGTCATTACTGAAAAATGAATTAAAGGCCTTGGATTTTAAAGCACTTGGATGTCTTGTGTTATTTCTGAGTAAGGTTGGAATGCTTGAAAAATTGCATAATAAATAAAACTTGTACATTATAAGTTTCTTACTTCCCAACTTATTTTTATGTTTTAATAAAATTTTACTTTATCTTTTACTTCCCAACTTATTTTTAAAAATTCAAATGAGAGGGATACGTGGGTGCTCAGTGGTTGAGCATCTACCTTTGGCTCGGGACATGATCCCAGGGTCCTGGGATTGAGTCCTGCATTAGGCTCCCCTTCAGGGAGCCTGCTTCTCCCTCTGCCTATGTCTCTGCCTCTCGCCCTGTGTCTGTCATGAATAAATAAATAAAATCTTTAAAAAAAAATTCAAATGAAAACTTCTGCTTGCTATGAACAAGTGGACAGCAGTCCAGTATAACAACAGATCAATGACGTGATTTCAAATCCTTGTTGGCAGTGTATTGACTTTATCAATGACTTTATGAACTGATCTGATGAAAAATTTTTCGCTTAATAAAGTAAGTAGCTATTATTGGATTCTACCTTACTACTATTTTTTTTACCTTTTTTAAAATCTCAAATTACCTTTATTTCTTCATCTCCCTTTTTTAAAGTATATGATACTACCCCTTGGATTTTAATTATTTGTTAGTAATAAAATATATTGGATGTTACTCCTTTTTGAAGTTACTAGATGATACCCTTGAAAGTGTACTATAAAATATTTCAGTACATTTAAAAGAGATTTTATTAAAATCTGTCCTTTTGTTTTCATTTGCTTATAACTTAATTCATTTGTTTTTATACACTTGCACTGACTTCCTTCTTTCAGCATAACTTGGGGAAAAATTTAATTACTAACTTCCTAATATTAGTCCTCTAAAAACATAGTTGAAGAAGACAAAAACTTCTCTAATTATGGATAAATATTTAAATAACAAAATATATTAACTCATATTAATGACTAAATTATCATTAAACTTTCATATCCTTCCATATATTCAAGATATATTATTTAGATGCCATCTGCAATTTGGTTGAATTGTATTTGTAATTAGACCAATAGAAATTAGCACTTGTTAATAAAATAGAACTCCTAGAGTTTTTTTTCCAATTACACTTCCCAGTTTGAAATAGCATGGCAAGAGAATTCTGCTATATCCTATTCTCTGGGGTTACTTCTGCACTTTTGAATACCAGCCTTTCTCTGTTACCCACTACTTGAATGCTGTGCTGTGCATTTCTTCAAATTAAGATTCTTGGGATCCCTGGGTGGCGCAGTGGTTTGGTGCCTGCCTTTGGCCCACGGCGTGATCCTGGAGACCCGGGATCGAATCCCATGTCGGACTCCCAGTGCATGGAGCCTGCTTCTCCCTCTGCCTATGTCTCTGCCTCTCTCTGTGTGTGTGTGTGTGACTATCATAAATAAATAAAAATTTAAAAAAAATTCTTTAAAAAAAAAAAAGATTCTTATTGTCAGGAGTACCTGGGTGGCTCAGTCAGCTAGGTGTCCAACTCTTGATTTCAGCACAGGCTGAATTTTTGCTTCTGTGTTGGGTATATGTAGGTATTGGTTCGTGGTTTCTTTGTAATGTCTTTGGTTGAGGTATCAGGCCTCAGAGTGAGTTTGAATAGTGTCATATTACATATTTCTTAAATGTTTGGTAATAGTCACCAGTGAAGCCATTAAGGCCTGGAATTTCCTTTGTGGAAAGGTATTTACGCTCAATTAAAAAAAAAGACACAAGGCCATTAAGTTTATCTGTTGCTTCTTTTTTTTTTAAAGATTTTATTTATTTATCCATGAGAGATACAGAGACAGAGGCAGAGGGAGAAGCAGGCTCCATGCAGGGAGCCTGATGTGGGACTTGATCCTGGGACTACAGGATCATGCCCTGGGCCAAAGGCAGGCGCCAAACCACTGCACCACTCAGGGATCCCCGTATTTTTGTATTCTTTGGGTAAATCCCTAGTAGTGCAATTGTTGGATCATAGGGTAGTTCTATTTTTAACTTTTTTTTAAAAGATTTTATTTATTCGAGTCGAGAGAGAGAGAGAGAGAGAGAGAGGCAGAGACACAGGCAGAGGGAGAAGCAGGCTCCATGCAGGGAGCCTGACGTGGGACTCAATCCCTGGTCTCCAGGATCGTGCCCTGGGCCAAAGGCAGGCGCTAAACAGCTGTGCCACCCAGGGATCCCTATTTTTAACTTTTTGAGGAACCTCCATACTGTTTTCCGGAGTGGCTGCATCATTTTGCATTCCCACCAACCAATGCTCAGTTTATTTATTTTTTTAATTTTATTTTTATTTATTTATGATAGAGAGAGAGAGAGAGAGGCAGAGACACAGGCAGAGGGAGAAGCAGGCTCCATGCACCAGAAGCCCGACGTGGGATTCAATCCAGGGTCTCCAGGATCGCGCCCTGGGCCAAAGGCAGGCGCCAAACCGCTGCGCCACCCAGTTTAGAAGTAATTATTCTTCACTACTGCGACAAGACCTTCTTGAATACTCTAGACACTATCTTATGAATTGTGAGGTTTTCCAGTTTAGAAGTAATTATTCTTCACTACTGCGACAAGACCTTCTTGAATACTCTAGACACTATCTTATGAATTGTGAGTTTTTCCAATCTGGCTGGTAAGAACATTGTTCCCAACCAAACCTGGGCACTATTCCCTTTAATCCTTTCTGTCAGCTCTTTCCTTGGCTTTGGTTAGTTCCTCACATGCATGTGCTAATCAGTGCTCTGCTGAATACTCTAGAACCCTCTGCAGATCTCTAGGTGGGTTTTTGTATAAGGGTTTTTTCTTTCTGTGCTATCCCTTCTTCTCTGGAATTCTGCCCTAACTTTGATTTCCCCTGACTTCAGCTCAAAGAGTTCACCAGGCTACCCTCTGTTCCCCTAAGATGTGACCTAAAAATGCCCTCAAGGCTATAAACTGGAGCACACTCAGGTTCAGGGCTCACTTGCATTTGTGTTCTGTATCTCGTACTCACTTTGGCAGCACATATACTAAAATTGTTTTCTGTCTCTCAAGAATCATTGTCCTTCATTGCCTGGTGTCTAGTGTCTTGAAAATCATTGTTTTGTAACTTTCGCCTGCTTTTTGTTACTCATTATTTTAGGTGAGAGTGCAAATCTGGTCCTTGTTACTTGATCTTGAGCAATTTGGTTTTAACAGCCTTCCAAGGAATTCTGGTGCACGTTAAACTTTGAGGACTAGATAGATCCATGAATTGAATGTTAGGCAATTATTTCACTAATATGCTCAACTGCCATACACCATGAAGACAGGATTATATGCAGTAAATCTACTATCTGGAGGAAAAAGATTTTTGTAAGGAAATTCACTCATTTCTATGCTTTGTAGCATGAAAGACATGTCAGTGATTGTGAGATATTTGAAATATTTATACAATCAAGATAGATGGAGATTTGGGCAAGGAGAGGAAGATTTTGTGAAATAACCTTATTTCATTAATGTTGCTATGGTACATAGTAGTCAGACATTTAGCTTTAAGCTACCTAATAATTTAACTGAAATTTTTTATAAATGTTAAGTGATAAATACAAATTTGAGTAGAATTAGTTGCCTTAGGCTATGTACCTACCATAAAATCACTCTGCTTTAAAGTATACAGAAAACTAGGGCTCTGGCGTGGCTCAGTTGGTTAAGCATTTGCCTTCGGCTCTGGTCAGGATTCCAGGGTCCTGAGAGCCCTGCATGGGGCTCCCTGCTCAGTGGGGAGCCTGCTTATCCCTCCGCCCCTCTCCTCTTCATTCTCTCTCTCTCAAATAAATAAAATATTTAAAAAACAAAACAAAGGGACGTCTGGGTGGCTTAGCGGTTGAGCGTCCCAGGCGTGATCCCGGAGTCCTGAGATCAAGTCCCACATCAGGCTTCTTATGTGGAGCCTGTTTCTCCCCCTGCCTGTGTCTCTGCCTCTCTGTATATCTCATGAATAAATAAATAAAATCTAAAACAAAACAAAACAAAACCAACAGAGTACCACAGTACCACTTCTTCTGGGAGTCAGGAATGTGACTGCTGTAAATACTTTGAAGGAAACTAATCAAGTTACTGCAATTCCTTAAAGTTTCCTGCAAGAAACTTTAAAATAGTTTAAGATATGTATAAAATTTATGCCATCTTTATTAAGCAAATAAAGCAGAAGTATTTTAAGCTGGGGAAGTAAGTGTTGACTTTAATAAACTTTACCCAAATTATTAAAAAACAAAACCCTGACTCCTAGGAAAGATGTGGGCACAGATCAGATATACAAGCCTTCCCACAAAATCAAATGGAATAAATAAAACTTTTTTTTTTTTTTTTTAAAAGAAGACACTGAAGCTAAGGAAAGTTCTTACCTACATGACAGAGGCTTTGAGTTGCTGAGAGGTAACAACTTGGGTCAAACAATCCACCAGACTCTGGGAATTCACACACCACTCCCATTCCCGGTGGAAGAGAAAGGAGTTGGACAAGATTCTTTGTAGAAGCACAGATACTGTTCCACTATTGCAGATAAATAACAATGTCCAGAGAACATGAACTTTATTTTTTTTGTAAGATTTTATTTTTATTTATTCGTGAGAGACACAGACAGAGGCAGAGACACAGGCAGAGGGAGAAGCAGGCTACCTGTGGAGGAGCCCAATGTGGGACTCAAACCCCAAACCCCAGAATCCCAACCTGAGCCAAAGGTACTCAGCTGCTGAGCCACCCAGGCATCCCAAGAACATGAACTTTAAACAAGATTAGTGATGAATTACAGTCAGAGAAAGATATCAAAATGGAGTTTTGAGAGGTTGGGAGGTAAAAAAAAAGATATATACTATTGTACAACTAACAAGTAGACTAGAAATAAAGCTGAGTCACTTTTGCAAAGAGCAAAGTGAATGACATGGATTAAATTGTTGAGAAGAATAAAGGGATAATGTATATGAAGCATGATGTTTGCCATATACTAAGTGCTCGATAACATCTGTTGTTACTAAATATTAGCACTATTTATA